GAAAGAAAACAGAAAGAAAGAAAGGGAAAGAAAATATAATCTCTAACCTATCATTCCAAACATTAAGTACATTAAAAAATTTTAAACAAAAAAATTAAAACATTACAGAGAAACCGTGAAAACGTTATTTAAAATATGAATGAAGACCCACTGTAACATAAAACAAAATAAATTCATGGGAATGAAGTACCAATAGTTTGTGTTAAAATGGAATCTATAGTTTAATTGTGATCCCAAATCAAAACAACAAAATGCCTTTGGACATGAAGGCATGTATGAATTACCTGATTCTTTTTTTTTTTTTTTTTTTTTTTTTAAAAAGGTTTTGCTCTTTTTTCCCCGGGTGGGGTGCAAAGGGGGGATCTTAGCCTACTGCAGCCGCCGCCTCCTGGGTTCAAGCAATTCTCCTGCCTCAGCCTCCTGAGTAGATGGGATTACAGGTGCGCGCCACCATGCCCAGCTAATTTTTTGTATTTTTAGTAAAGACGGGGTTTCACCGTGTTGACCAGGATGATCTCAATCTCTTGACCTCGTGATCCACCCACCTCGGCCTCCCAAACTGATGGGATTACAGGCGTGAGCCACCGCGCCCAGACTGAATCACCCGATTCTAAAATATAAAGAAATCCAAATAGCAAAGCATAGTCAATGCACTCTTGAAAAAGAGCAATTTGTCCACCAGATATTAAGAATTACAAAGAAGCTGTTGTAATAAAGAGTTTTGAGATTTGGGTGCATGGATTAACAGATAGACCAGTGGAACTGAATGGAAAGTCCTGAAAAACAAAACCAACAAAACATGTCTAAATGCAAGCTTGATTGATTTAAAAATGTTGCAGCTTTACAGCAGGAGACTGTCTTGTTCATAAGTATCAGTGGAATAACTGAATAGCCATATAAAAAACCTAATGTAAGTGGAACCCTTTTTCATATTATAAAAAAAATGCAATTACAGGGAAATTCAAAACCTACTTTAAAAATGTTTATTTTAAATACTTCAAAAACACAGAAATGCACAGAATAATAAATAAATCTTTGTATAGATTATCTTTTAGTGAGTCAGCAGCATGAGTAAATCAGAACATCAGTAAGGCTAGAGATGAAAGAGCTGAAAGAGGTTGGGGTCATTGGTCACTTCGGTAACAAGAGGAGTGAGATGATATGAGTCAAAGACGAACAGAGGAAATGGCACTTCCTCTCTCCCCCTTGTCTCAGCCATAGAAGGCCTAGCTGCTTTCATAAGCCTTTGCTTTTTGAGAGTAAGACTTGGATCTCAACAGTAGCTAGGGGAAGGCTACCTGGGACAATGATGGATTTATTCCCCCTCTTACTTGACCAGCTCCTCATGCTGACCACTGGAACTCTGAGGATTCAAGAAATATAACCCGGCCGGGCGCGGTGGCTCAACCCTGTAATCCCAGCACTTTGGGAGGCCGAGGCGGGTGGATCACGAGGTCAAGAGATCGAGACCATCCTGGTCAACATGGTGAAACCCCGTCTCTACTAAAAATACAAAAAAAAAAAAAAAAAAAAATTAGCTGGGCATGGTGGTGCGTGCCTGTAATCCCAGCTACTCAGGAGGCTGAGGCAGGAGAATTGCCTGAACCCAGGAGGCGGAGGTTGCGGTGAGCCAAGATCGCGCCATTGCACTCCAGCCTGGGTAACAAGAGTGAAACTCCGTCTCAAAAAAAAAAAAAAAGAAATATAACCCTAGCAGTTCTATTCCAGAAAGTCATGACGGAGGGATGTTGTGTTGATGACAGCCACCCTGACCAGGTCTACAAACACTTTACTGACTTAGCGGCAGTGCCAGGTTGCTGACATGATAGGAGTAGAGGCCTATCTCCCTCTCCACATGGATAAGAGCTCCACATACTTCCTTTCAACAGTTCTTACTCCTGACAGTACCCTCAGAAGGATTCAGGAGCCCTAAGATTCCAAAAAAAGGTTGACTTGTGGCTTTGCCAGAGATTTCCCTGAGGATTGGGGTTCTCTCCACCCAATATGGCCAGGATGAATTCAGCTGTTCATGCGCTGACTTCCTTCCTTAGCTTTGTCTCCACAGCCCAGGGGCAGATGGCCTCTGCTCATAGCCAGGATTGGTGTATCAAACCTCAGTGCTCAAGGTGGAAACCCACAGATATTTGCCTAAATAAATAAAACTACATAGCAGTTAAATTTGATGTAAGTATTTAAAATTTTTATTTAACTTTTAAATTCAGAGATGCAAGTGTAGGTTTGTTACATATCCCCTTTTAGTGACTTACTTCCATTAAGGCCAGCATTAATAACCTCATTTTAACTTGATTGCCTTGAAATAATCCTATCTCCAAGTCATGTCACATTTTAATTTTAAAAATGTAGAATTTTGCAGAAGAGACAATTGAACCTATAAGAGTGGTAAGGGCAAGTGTCAGATCTGTATGTATATATCATTACATATGTGTGTGTGTGTATACATATATGTGTATATATAAAATATCACATCTATCTTTATAAAAGCTGGAAATCTAAAACCATCTTTCAAAATTTACACAGCCACATTGTTACTTGTGGAAACTTCTGAATAGGAGGCTGAATTTTGAAGAAAATTTTAAAGGAAAAAATGCAATTTCTATGCATTTTTGGAATTTTTTTGCCACAAAAATACATGTGCTATTTACTTTTAATTAAACTATTGAAATAACCCTAAGAAAAGCAAGAGGAGTACTCTAGTAGTCAGATTAAGTAAAAGTAAGCTGATGGAACAGAAAAATATTTCCTGAAAGTCAAATGGCTTAACACAAGTTGATTTTTGTGTACCTAAATTCTGGTTTGAATTGGCAGGGTGTAATGGGCTGAATTGTGCCCACGTCTTAAAGTGGCACAATTCAGATATATCCACGTCTTAACCTCCAGTACCACAGAATGTCATTGTATCTGGAGACAGAACCTTTGAAGAGGCAATTAAGGTAAAATGAGGTCTTATGGTTAGGATCGTATTCAATATGACTGGCGTCCTCATAAGCAGAGCAGATTAAGATACAGACACACAGACTAAGGAACAACCATGTAAGAATTCACTGAGAAAGTAGCAATCAGCAAGCCATGGAGAGGCCAGGGAAGAAATCAAACTGGCCAACATCTTCATCTTAGATATTTAGCCTCCAGAAATGTGAGAAAACACATTTCTGTTTTTTAAGTCACCCAGTCTGTGGTATTCTGTTATGGTATAATAAACTAACACACAGTCCGTCCTGGCTTTCGCCTAGCCTAGGAATCCAAGCTGCTTTCACTTTGTAGCTCCACATCACAACAGATGTTAACTGCTCAACAGAAACAAAAGCACAGGAATGATGCACTGGCTTCTGTCTAACTATAAACGAACCACCCAAGAAGGTGAGGTAGACGAATCAAGATGGGCACTTGTAGTTTCTCCCATATGTTATTATGGTGCTCAATTAAAACCAACTATTATAATTTATGACAGTAAGTTTCTTCATTTCTTGGAATTATTTCTGGGAATGTCAGCATAGCCTTGAAATCTTCCAACATTTTCTTGCACCAACAAAGTGACTGGTGGTTTCAAATACAAGATGACATCCTGTTTTAAAACAATTCTGTAAATCTTGGCAGGGAGAGTCAACCTTATTCCCTCAATAGCACTTTGCACTGTCCTTTTAATAAGCTATATAATTTCTTTAGGCTGAGAATTCTCTCCTATTTTTGGTGTATGATAAATAATCTACCCTGTGAGCCTCTGCTACCCTCCATATGATGGAACATTCCTGAGCAGCTATACATGTGCCTGTGGCACACTGCAAAAAAAGATTTTCCTGTGGGGCAGGTACACAGAAAAGAGACATGGAAGGATGTTTAACTATAACTTTTTTTTCTCATCAGAGCTGGCATATTCACAAAGTACCCTTGTTACCTCCTAGGCAGTCTTCAAGATTTTTCTGTTCCCTTAGAAATTTGTCTTCTTGTAGATCATTTGCAAAGCGATTTCTATAGTCTTTCCTCATCTACAAAGTTTATGAAGGAAAGATTGGCATTTGATCACTTACAAAAGCTCATTCATCTGTATTTGGGTTCAATGCCCTGTTTCAAATAATGCATCTTATTAAAATCCTATTACGAATATCAAATATCAGGATGATTTCAAATAGGCTATATCTAACCTTAGGATTACATCCCTAAAACTACTATTGTGTGACAAATTAGATTTTACTCTGCAGCCCATTTGGAAATATGTTGAGAATGTATTGAAGATGCCCAGCATACATATGGAAATGTCACTATCCAAAGTGTATATTCACATCAAAGTTCTGTTATCACAGAGGAGCCAGGGAGAGGGATGGATCAGTCAGGGAACTTCTGCAGAGACAAAGAGTGGTCTATGTTAGGGGAAGGATAGATGTCTCTGGACTCTTGCGCTGACAGCTGGGTACAGCTTTCAGAGTGGGAAACACAGTGACATTAGTCAGCAGGCCAGGTTCCATAGTTGCCCAAGAGAGCACACAGGGGAGATCAAAAGGAGAGTGCTATAATGTGGGAAAGTCCTGGGGCTGGACAAAAGTACTGTGTTCAAGTGCACCAATACAAGAGCTGCAGGACACCTTCCATTACTTCCCCATGTGGAGACCCCTCTCTGCCTCATCCTTCACCCAGAGGGAACTGCTCAAGTAGCTTTCCATTCCAGACTTTTCTCTCACCTTCTGAGAGTCTGGGCCCTGCCACCACCCAGCTTCATGACAATCAGCTCCCACAGAAGCAACTGCAGTTTCCTAAAGCCCAAAACTGCCTTAGCTCGGGGCCTTTTTGTTTGAAGGCTCCAACTGGAGTCACACCCTCCCTACTCCTTTTTAAACTTATTCTTTAGATTGAAGAGAAAATCTTACCAAGTTCCTGATATGGCTTCTATACCTATACTCTACCGTTTTGTGAGTAGGTATAAGTCTTGCTTTTAGTAGTAACTTCACTACTAACCATAACTTCCATGAGCAAATGCTGATATAATGTTCATCAAATAAAGGAGTCAGTGATATTTTTATTTATTATCATTTAATCTCTGCTACTTTATTAAACAAGCCAAGCAAACCAGGTATGTATCTTTAATTTTCAAGAACAACAGACTAAAGGGTATGAGGAAATGCAAATATTAACAATCCTTTGTTTTGTTCCACTATTTAACTCCAGAGTTCTTTTACAGTTTAAAGAAAATTGCTACAGTAATACCACATTAACCTGTGACAGATCACAAATAAGGCACAAGATTTTCCCAATTTTGTGTGTGTTTTACAAAATATCAAACTGTTACTCCTAAACCAGTTAAACAGCAATACATGTGTGACTAATATTCATAAACTTCATAAACTAAGATTCTGAAGCTATTTAAACCTTTTATTAAAAGGAAAAGCATTTCAAAAATACCCCAAAGTAAAACAGGTAAATCCCTTAACTACCATATAGAACAGAAATGCAAACAACACTGTGTTCTCTCCAGCTTCACCCGGGCCCTCCACCGCATAGAAACTCGCCTGCCCTGTTCACACTCAAAAGGAAGATTCTGCCTTAGACTTCACTCAGGAGAAGAGGGGCTGGGGGACATGACACTGGAGCTTGCACTGTCTGTGACAGTGGAATCATCTGTGGTGTCAACTGTGGCCTGGGCTCTCTCTTCTATATGTTTCAAAGCATCCTTGTATGAGGATGAAAAGGAACTAGGGACGGTATTGTTTAGCATGGCCAAAAACTCTACTACTTTCCTCTTGCTGATTTCTGAATGGGCTCTTGGACCCCAAAGAAATTCATAACGTGGAGGAGAAGTGTTGGGCACCTCCCGGTACTCCAGGTAACGTTCCTGCACCCAAACTTTAGTGAGGAGCTCTCTGGGCTCCCCAAAGATGAAGTGCTTCCTCCCAGCACATACCCCTATCCCACTCAGCACATCCCAGATGATCTCCTCAGAGGCAGAGGAGCCCTTTATGAAGATTATACTCAGAGTAAGTGTCAGAAGGCGGTTCTGGGGCATGCCCTGCTCATCGCTCAGACTCCCTTCACAGGTGAGGTCTAATGGGTTTACAAAGACATAGGAGTGGTCGGGGCCCACTTCTGTCAGGGCAATGCCAAAAAGAATCTCTATGAACTCACGGGCCTTCCTGAAGATCATAGGAAAGTAGCCCATGTACCTGTTGACAAAAATTGTCAGCATCTCTGCCTTTGTGACAGGCTCCTTTGCTTGATATTTGAGAAGAAGAAACTGCACCAACTTGTCCACCTTTTCATCCAGTGTATGAGTAAACAAGGGCTCAGTGACTGTCAAAGACTCGCTATCTGTCAAGGACTCGCTGTCTAGTAAGGTGTCTGAGGTACTTGTATCTTCATCTACTGGGCTGTTGGACTCTTCACTGGATGGGTTCAATAAAGTGGTGGAGAAGAAAGAGCTCACAGGACCCTGGAGAGCAGACTGGGAAGGCCCCTCAGGAGGACTCTGGGGACACTCAGGGG